GGGTTTCCTTGTGGTTTCTGTTCCGTCTGTGAAGTAGGAGGTGCGTCATCTCCCGGGAAAGGACGTAGGTGACTTCAGAGTGGGAAAGCTGGAAACTCCCCACGTGGGGCCTGGGGGCGGAGTCGGCGGGACGCAGAAGGGGCGTCAGGCTGGGTGGAGAGGCAGTCGCGCTGGGGTGCTGTGGATTTCTCCCCCACGCGCTCTCAGGGGCGAGGGCGCTGGCCATCCAAAGCGGAGCCAGAAACCGGGGCTGGAGCGGCGCCAGGGGTCAGCTTTGGCTTCTCTCTTTCCGTTACTTGGCTTAGCCAGGCGGTGACCAAGGCTTGTCCATTCATTCTTCAGGAGTGGCCCGAGTCAACCAATCCTCTCCATCCTCCTGGCCTCCTGGGGACCCGGCCCCCATCTTCTGCCCGTTGCATGCCCAGCACCACCTCCCGGGGAGCTCCTCCCGCCGCTTGGGGACAGCGTGGAGAGGAAGCACTCTCGGTAGCTGCCAAGAGTCATCGTCTCTGCTTTGCACTCTGGTCGTGTCCCTGAGCCGGCTCCCCCTTTTATAAAATAAATTTTGAGAGTAGGATGGTTTAGACATGCAGAAGAACCGCAGAGATGATGCAGAGGATTCCTGTACATCCACACCCGTTTTACCCTGGTGTTAGGATCTTCCATGAGTACGGTACATTTGACACATGGAATGAATCAATACTGATGCATTTTTATTAACTCAGGTCCATTCTTTGTGCCGACCTCCTCGATTTTTTCCTAATGTCCTTTTTCTATTCCAGGAGCCCATCGAGGATCCCATATTACGTCGAGTCGTCATGTCCCCTTAGGCTCCTTGGCTGCGATAGTTTCTCAGACCTTATGACGTTGACAGTTTGGGGAGTACTTGTCGGGGAGTTTGTAGAATGTCCCTCAACTGGGATTTGCCTGATGTTTTTCTCATGATGAGACTGGAGTTATGGGTTTTGGAGGGAAGACGAGAGGGAAGCGCCAGTCCCATCACATCGTATCGAGGGTTCAGTTAAAGGAGAAAATGTCCGATGACACTCGTTAGCGGACGTCAAGGTAAACTTCATTCAAGACCAGCTCGGCAGGCGTGGGGGCCGCTGCCGTGGATTTTGCAGGTGGGGAGAGGGCTTGGGCTCAACTCTGAATGTTACATGGCAGGTGGGGACTCAGCAGGCACGGTGGGGTCAGTGGGTGGGAAATTCAGAGGACACACCAGGGGGAGGGGTTCTGGCCAGACCGACCTGATAGGATTGTGGCTGAAGGCCGGCTAGGGTGGCAGAGCCAGCACCTGTGGGTGGGGGAGGCGGAGCTGAGAGCTGGGTCAGATACGGAGGGTGGGGCGTTCTGCTTAAACTGACTCAGCAGGATTTTGCTAAAACTAGATTTTACAAGGAGGGGCACCGCTGGCCTAGAAGGTTCAGCCGCCCGGCTAAAGTTCACTCAAGCCAAGACGCTTTGTCAGTACACGTGGGCAGCCTGAGTTGTCACTGTCGATATTGACCTCGATCACCTGGATGGGGTCGTGTCCACCAGGTTGCTATGTTGTAAAGTTGCTGTCCCCTCCCTGCTTTCCACGTCCTACGCCCTGGAGGGACATCTACGCACAGTCCGCAGGTCAAAGAGTGCGTGGCTGTGTCCTGCCTCCTTGGAAGCTCAGTACCTGCATAGATTATTTGGAGTTTTTTCTGCCTGGAGATTTGTCAGTTTTATCGGGCATTTTTCTACACGTCTTCTGTAAGTTTCGCAGCTGTGAGGCTGATGTTATCTCCCATGTCCCAGGTGCAGAAACAGAGACTCAGTGAAGTTGACTCACCTTCCCAGGGTCACCCAGATTTTGAGTGGCAGGCCGAGGACTTGGACTTGGGTATTCTCAGAGCCAGCTCTCCTCAGTGCCAAACTCTGTGTCTACACTGGTGTCTACACTGAAGCTATTTCATCTGGAATTCACTTAATCCTCGGGTGCCCTTCTCTTAGGCAGGGTACGGCTCATGGGGGGAGAGTGTTCTTGGAGTCTCTTTGGTGAGCCCACCCTTTGAAAGAGCTTCCTCTGAGGACTTTAGGAAAACCTGTTTCGTAAGGTCTAGGTGAGACTAAGCTCGAACTAGATTTCAATATGGTGCATGTTTGGGTTCTGTTATGCAAGGCAGGCAGGGATCTGTCTACCTATTTGCTTACCTATGTGTCATCTATCTGTCTGTCATCTATCTATCTATTATCTATCTATCTATTCTACTGTCTGTCATCTCTATCTATCTATCTATCTATCTATCTATCTATCTATCTATCTATCTCTATATATCTATCATCATCATCTATCATCTATCATCATATATCTCTCACCTATCTATCACCTTTGGTTAATTGTCACAGTTTTTAAGAAAAAAAATCAATAATATCTACACATTTTTAGGAGCATGGGGTTCACCCTGATTCCACTGAACGAGGTCATCTGTGGGGTCAGAGGTATCGTTCTGCTATCCTGGGGAAGCCGGTGGGAACCCAGCTGTGATTTCGTGGGTCACTGAAGGTTCACACCTGTGGTCGCGGCTTCCTGCTGGTTTTTCTGAGCTCAACATAAAATGCGGAACAGAGCTGTATAATGGGCCCGTTTGCTCTGTGGATTTTCCAGTTTTCCTCTCCGTGCCCGCTCACAGTGTTTGGAATATATATCGGAGCTCAAGACGTCGTGCTGGAAATTGGGACGGATATGCTCTTTCATGTTTTTAAAGAAATGGCTCTAAAGGGATTGCAATTCGTTTCACTAGGACCCTGGCTAAATCTGACAGGTGCACAAAGCTTTAGCTGGACAGCAAATCTCACCGAGACCAAAGGACCCTTCCCTCCTCACAGTTTAGAGCAATTAAGCTGCTTTGGGCACCAGACTGCGTGCGTTATCCGCTCCCCCACCCTGTAAACGGCAGCGGAGGGCCCGATGGCCTGAATGAGTCAAAAACATCAGCTGCAGGTTGAAACCAGCGAGTCACAGGGCTGGAGGGCCACAGCCATTCGTTTCTGGCTTGTTAGCCCACGGCACAGTCATACTGGCCAGTGTTTCTCTCCCAGACAAGCTGTGTTTCACCTTTTAATTTTTATAGTGCGATCGGGAGATGGGCCAAGGTCAAAGGCAAGCAGATGACAAAGCTTCCAGAAGAGTCTGCCCTCTAATTGTTGTCACTGGTTTGCTTTTAACTTGGAGTCGAGAAGCAGCAGCAGCCCTTGTGCCTGTGTGGCTCCCAGGGCAGGAAACTGGGCCCCAGCCTCTGTCCGGGTGGGGTATGATGGGCACAGGCCCTGCCTGCTGCTGCCGTGGAGGAGTTGACACTGGTGGCTGGTGATGGGGGCAGGGCTGGGAGAGATCTCGCCACAGCAGGGTGCTGTGGCCTCAGCTCGCTCAGCCTTCTCGGCCTGCTGGGCAAGGTGGGCGGGAGCCTCGGAGGCACCTGTGTCTCCAAGCTGCCCCCGCCCCTGCCAGGAGGTGGCCTTGCTTCCTGCCACATCTCCCATCCCACCCAGTGCCCTTCCTGAAATCAGCGGGAAGGAGCCTCATGGGTCCGGGCTTCTCTGAGGTGCAGAGACCTCCCTGGGGGGAGTAGGTGGTGCCCAGTTAAGGACACAGAGTGCATGGAAATGGCCGGGAGGCCTCACACCTGCAGCTCTGCCGGCGGGGTTCTTCAGGCACATGCGCGGGGTGGGATGAGGGGCATTTCAGAGAGCTGGGCCCTCAGCGTGTAAGGATGGAGTCTGGGCACCCATCTCAGCCACCTGCAGCCAGGAGAGGGCGTCCACGGCCTGCTCCCCAGGGCACGTTAGTCCCCCAGCAGGGCCAGCATGGGCATGGCAGCTGAGAGGTGGGCCAGGGTGGGGTGGGGTGGAGGTCAGGAGGAGGGGAAGCTGGCTCCACCTTGGTGTGGCTGGTCCTGAAACAGTGACGTCTGAGCCTCTAAGACAGTGTTGCTCAACTGGGCGATTTTACCCCCACGGGGGACATTTGGCAATGTCTGGACACATTTTTGGTTGTCACAACCTGGGCAGGAGGTGGGATACGGTTGCTACTGGCATCTAGTGGGTGGAGACCAGGGGTGCAGCAATGCACAGGACGGCCCTGCCGCAGAGAATAATCTGGCCCCAAATGTCACTAGTGCCAAGGCTGGGACCCCGCTCTAGGGGTCTGAAGTGGGGGAGGGGTAGCGTGTCATTTCACACAGGGGCCCCAGAAGTACGTCTGGTGGGCACCGGGCCTCTCAGACGCTTGACCCGAGGGCCTGTCTTGCTGCCTCAGGCGTCTCCGTTTGAGGAATTTCCCCCTGTGTTTGGTTTTGTGGGGGCGAGCCTGCAGGACCCCGGGAATGCTGCCTTTTCCACGATGCTTCCTTTTTCACCCCTACCTGGGAGGGTGGGAATGAGCAGGAAATCAGGTCTCTCTCAGAGGCGCCAGGCGGTGAAAGGGAGACATCTGTATCATCAGACGGAGATTCTTGCCTGCTTGGGTTTCTGGCTGAGGGTCTTGGTAGTAACACTGTGTCCCTGCCCGTGCGTGTGTGCGCACGTGTGCGTGTGTGTGTGTGCGAGTGTGAGACAGAGACAGACACTTCTGAGTGGGAACGGAGGGTGGCAGTGTGCGCTGGCGTATCCCATCGCTACAGTAATGACTTTCCTCTCTTTGGGAGCCTGGGAGGTGTCCGCAGCCAAGGGCATCGTCTGCTGAGGCTCAGCCTTTCCACGTGCCACCCCGCAGCGTCCTGGCTACTCACGTTCCCTCTGTCACAATGTGACAGGACAGCTGAGCTCCCACGCGGGTCGGCCGAAGGGAAGGAAAGTGAACCAGGCCCGAGACAGCAGCGCTGGCCAGGGCTGGGCCCGGTGCCTCTCACACGGCCCGCAGCGGGCTGGCGCGGGGTCGGCCGTGCCGCGCGTCCCTCTCTGGGACGGCCCCAGGGGCGCGTGCGCGCTCTGCGGAGTGCAGTCCATCCAGTGTGCAGCTCTCTCTACAGGTCACGCCATCATCACGAACTACTTGCTGAACTACTTCCCCGGTCTGGACCTTGAAAGGAGGAACGTGTTCGGGTTCACGGCCCTGATGAAAGCTGCCATGCAGGGGCGGACAGAGTGCATCCGGGCCCTGATGCTCGCAGGTACGTGGCCACCTGTCCCGCGCGGTCCCAGGAACCTGGCAGATGCAGATTTTGGTCCCTTACAGAATACGTGTTGAAGGGATGAATCAGTCCTGTGGAAATGAAGACCAGTGGGTGCCACAAAGGGCAGTTTCTTTGAGATGTATGGCTGTCCACATCTGAGGTGACACAAATAAAGACAAAGGCAGCCACCTTCGGGGGCGGGAGGTCACGGCCCTGCTCACTCCCGCAGGACGCCCCTCGTTGCTCCCTGCCGAGCTCTTCCTTCCCCGCTTAGCCTCCCCGTGCCCATCTCCATTCTTCCGAAATGTGTGTTCTGGTCTTGGCCCTGAGCGGCAGGCCTGCCCTTTTGAAGGTGGCTGAAAGATGGCGGGGCCATCCCAGGAGCCATCCTAGACCCCACGCACACACGCGTGTGGGCCGGCGGTGGGGATCTCACCGAGTAGGAAGATCGCAGGCAGTAGCTCTGGATCAGCACGGTCCCCCCTTTGCCCTTCGTGACCTTGGCCTCTCGGAGGACGCACTCTCTTCTCTGAGCCTTCCGGTCCCCATCTTTGAAATGGGAGCGATGCTTATTTCTTCTCATGTGCTCTGAGGATGAAACATGATGATACTTTGCAGACTTTCAAGGGCTACGCAGACCGAATGAACCACTGAGCTAAATTCTGAGCGACTGGCCAACCTCCAGCGCTTTTCCTCACTGTAGGAGGGAACCGTGGTCATCCTTAGCAACAGCTCGGTGGGTTGTTTTGAGAATTCGATGAGAAAATGTGTCAGGTGCACACCCAGGGTCCGGCGCAGGGCAAGCCTCTGACTTCTCGATCAGCGTGAGATGATGCTGTTGCTCTTATTTAATTTCATTATTTTAATGTATTTTGTTCTTGGCACCGGGTTCAGCCAATCCCGCTTGGCACTACAAGTCCCGGAGAGGTGGCATTTACCTGCCATCTTAGTATTCTGAGGACAGCGACAAAGTCTTTCTAAGCATCAGCCTAGGCTAGTAGTTCTGTTTAGACAACTTACTTTTTAAAAAGAAACTTATATTTTGGAATAATTTCAGATATACGGGCACGTGACGAAGATAGAACAGAGTTTCCACACAGCTCTCACTTGTCTCCCGTGTTTAGATCTCACGGAGAGGCCGACATTGGTATATTACGATTCACTACATTCCAGACTTGTGCAGATTTTACCAATTCTTCTGCGAATATCCTTTTTCTGTCCCAGGGCTGCATCCAGGCTGCCACGCTTAGTTGTCACGTGTCCCCAGGCTCCCCTGGTCTGTGGCAGTTTCTGCCTTGTCCGTGACTTGACCGGCTGGTGTACAGTGTCCTGCAGCCTGAGCTCGCCTGTCATTATTCTCGTGATTAGACTGGGGTGATAGGACTCGCAACTTGCTTTTTGGAGGCTTCGAAGAAGAAAACTTTCTTGGAAATTAAAAAAAAAATCATATTGAAGTTAATCCCCTTTTGACTCAGTGACAGTTTCAAGTGAGACGTGTTTCGACAGAGTCGAGGGCTGGCCTGGCCTGCGTCGGTGAGAGACGCCTCCTGCTGATGGAGTGTTGGTTACGATGCTTTCGTGTTTGATGAAGCTTTGTCTGCTTTACTCTGGATCTCGCGATAATTGAGTGCAGCTCTTTAGTAATTTACTTTTTCAACCAAAAATGTAGGGTGTATTTGGTAGGGTGTAATTTACTTTTTCAACCAAAAATGTAGGGTGTGGATCACATGTGTGTATTTTTCCCAGTGAATTAATTTGAACTTCGAGTCCTCTTGCTTGTAGGCCAGGAGCCTTCCTGTCGCCCTGGCGGAGGCACGGGTCCCGCCGTCGGTCTGCCCTCGTCCTGGGTCTGGCGGGAATTTGGGCGGTGGCTGCGCGTTCACAGGATCACAGAGACACCTTCGGTCTCTCGAGAGACGGGCCTCCTCGGGGCGGCGTGGTCAAGGCCAGTGCTTTTCCCCTACTCGGCACTTGAATAACGAATTCATACTTTCCCTGTTCGTGAGCCCTGCCCGTCAAAGTCTAAAGTAACCCCCTGAGTGGGGACCTCGAGCGCGGCCACCCCCGGACTGTGCGCGGTCACAGCGGACGGCCACCGGAGCACGCTCGGAAGCCAGGACCCCCGCGCTCCCATTTCAGCTCCTGCAGTGACCCTGTCTGCACCCAGGGCCCGTCACCCACTGCTCTGCTCTCGGCCTGTTTCCTCTTCTGCGAAATGAGGCGCATGACAGTAGCTGCTGCGGGAAGTCGTGATGGGGACCGAACGAGTTCGCATGTGGAAGGCCCTTGGACGCGTGCCTGGCGCAGGGGACACCTGCAGTCAGCTTTGGTTACTGTTATTGTTACCGGTGAATTTCTGGGTTCAGTAATTATCTGTTAAGTGAATGAAAAAAACACGGCATGTTTTTCCCTTCGAAACGTGTCCTCGTGATGAGATCCTTAAATTATCTTACTGACGGTGGCAGGCCTGGCAACTGGGGCTTCTTGGCGCTGCTGACATTTCGGCCAGTGACTCTTCGTGGTTGGGGGCTGTGCTGGGAATCACAGTGTGTTACGCAGCATTCCTGGCCTCCGACAACGGGTGTCTGCAGCATCCCCCAGGTTCGACAACCAAAATTGTCTCTGGACACTGCCACAGGCCCCCAGGGGGACAGCCGCTGCCTGGTGAGAACTGCCGATAGAACTAATATAAATGTAAAAAGATGGAAAACGTGAAAAGAGAATTTTCCCCTCATATACATTCTTCTTTCCAGCTTGCTCTGTATTCCTTCTTAAAATAAAAATCTGACAGCTTTTTCAAGGAGTTTTTGACCCGCCTTCGTGTTTGTAGTGTCTGACCTCTAGAATATGTTCATTTTCTACTATTACTATTAAATTGGCTCACAGTTCTTTTTCTCAGAAAAGTGAGTTTCATTTTCCTTTTACAGTAGATGTGTGTGCACATTTTAAAAGGAAAAAAAAATGCGATTGAATGTCTTTGGTGGTTTGGTGGACAGCAATAAGGATACTCGTTGAGATCTTTTGGAAATTTGCACAAACATATCTAAGTCTCCTTCCATGTAAATACATCAATATGAAGGAAAATTAAAGCTTTTAAAAGTACAAATGCTTTTAAATTTGGGGTTGGCATTTATGTGAAGCTGCGGATGCTCTTTTGAGGGGTAATCACAGGATGCCCATCCCATGGTCATTTTAAAAGCACAAGGCACCATATTCGTGGTTGTGGTGAAAGTGTGGATGTCATCCAGTTTTTCGGGTGCTGTAGTACTCCATTGCACCTGAGCTGAGTTTCAAAGTTGCAATTTCGTTATATTCAACAGGAACCATTTCTTTTTAGAAATGATGAATCATTGAACTGGATGCCCGCCCCCCCCAAACTGTTTACATTTTCCAATAGTTCATAATATACAGACACATATCACTGCTTATCTTACCTTTCAGGCGGAACAAAATAATGTTAGAATGATCAGAACTTGGGATTTTAATAAAAATGTAACTAGGCTTTGAAAAGCTGATTTATTAGCCCTTCGGTTTTTGGCTTCCCAAGGAATAATGTCAGTTCTGCCGATGAGAGTCACAAGGAGGGCTGCGGGACCTTGTTAATTCAGTGGAATATTAATGTCCCAGAGTGACAGGTCTATTTAAATAAGTGGCTCTGGGAGGCTGTACGGAGGACGTGATTTTCTCTGCAGAGAGACGGAACTCGGCAGAGGTTGGCAGGTTCCAGACTTTAAGAGAGCTAGCTCTGCACCCGAGGAGCGCCGTAATTGCTGCAGAGTTGGGCAGCGACACCCTCGACTCTTTCTGTGATTCCAGGGGACAGAGCAGGTGTGGGAGGTTTGTCCGGCGAGGGGCAGAGAGCAGAGGTGCGCGCACTGTCTTACTGACTGTGTGGTCCCTCTGTCCCAGGCAAACCCTGACTACGTGCTTCTGGAAAGCCAGAGGGGATGATATCACTACAGGGCTTTCTTTCTGTTTATAAGGAAAACATGAATCTTCCGTGAACCGAGAATTCGCCAAGTTGGAACAGTTTGAAGTTATGAAGCAGAAAAAGGGCTAAACACCAGCCATCCCACATCCTCAAGGGCGGTGTCTTCGCTTGGGTCTCAGGAAAGCAAACCCAGAGGAAAGGACTTGGGGACAAGTGGTTCTTCTGGAAGGTGCCCCCGGGAAGCGGTGTGAGACCAGGATGACAGGACAGCTAATGGCTGTGTGCTGATGAGCTGGTTGTCCTCACGGCCAGCCAGGAGGCAGGCCTGCCTGGGACCCCCGGAACACCTAGTACAAGGCATATCAGATATGTCCTGTGGGGCGGGGCGGGGAAGCCAGGGGAGTTGTCCCCCAACTCTGGACAGAGGTACTCTTGGGCCCGTTACCTCTTTGGCAGCCCACCCCCCCCGCCCCCCCGCTGCAGTGGGCTAGAGTGCAGATGATTTGACACCCTTTTGGGGGCGTCCCTGTGACTGCATCCTGACTTGTCATACTAATTACACCCCAAGTGCCCAAGACATGGGCCAGAGGTGGAACAGGAGGGGGCCTGCAAGGACTCGTCCTCAGTGGTCCCCTGTGACCGGAAAGGCCTCCGGGCAGAGGGGAGAGGGAGCTCTGAAGGGCAGATAACATGGGGAGGAGGCTAGGAAAGGAAGGGGCAGTATCCTGGGCTCTGCCCGCCCGCCTCCTGATGGTCCCATGAGCCTGGCCGTGCCTGGGGTGGAGAGGGTAGACGCATCTTAAGGAGTGGAGTGATGGAAGGTAGCTTTTTTTTTTTTTTTTTTAACGCCTTCTAGAATGATTTCTGCAGAAATCCTGACTTGACAGGGGCTTAAAGAAGCGAGGTGTCTATCTTTCTCACCTCACTAGAAGTCTCGAGGTAGGCAGTCACCGTGCATGAGGACATCACAGACCCAGGATCCTGCCTCCTGTCCACTTGGCATCCCCTCCCCCTCCAGATTGTTGACTGGTCACCTCATGATTGCACGAAGATAATTAGAGCTCCAGGCCGCAGACAGGAAGCACACTGGTTCCTTTCGGCAGGATGCAGCAGCCTTCTCTTTGGGTGGCCACCCTTAAGGGGGCCTGACACGATGGGGAACAAGGTTGCAGTCCACTTAAACCTCCCGCCCCCAGAACAGCAATTCTCATGGACGGAGGGTGTTGGTGGGGTTTGCGCCCCAGGGGACATTTGGCAATGTCCAGGGACATTTTTTGGTTTTCACAACTGGTGGAATGCTACTGGCATCCAGTGGGTGGAGACCAGAGATGCTGTGAAAAGTTCTATGATGTGCAGGACGGTCCCCACAACAAATAATGATGTGGTCCAAAATGTCAGTAGTGCCAACGCTGCGAAACGCCGGGTTAGACCAATCGCGGTGCATTGCTTAGAACTGGTGTGTTGCTTCCTTGAAGAAAGTAGAGGGTTTTGTGTAGACTATGCACAGCACTCGACATGGCAGCCAGTGGACCCGCTGGCAGGTATCCACCCCTTGTCTGCACGGCTGGAGCCCTGGGGGAAATGACACTGGGTAGGAGGTGAGGAGACCGGTCGTCCCATGCGGAGCAGATGGGCACAGGGGCCTTGTGGAAGTTTTCCTTATTTTCTGAAAGGTGTATATGTAAAGGGTTATCATCAATACTTGTCTTTCGTGACTTAATTACCATGTCCCTGTCATCGATATTACCCTTATTAGCAATGTCATAAGGAAGTGAATCCCTGACTGACAGCCGGATTCAGAGTCTTGGGCTGTATTACAGTCAGAATGGCCTCTGTTCTTTCGGATGTTTGCATTTTCCAAGACCATCTTACCAAGATACAAGAGGAACAGGAAGAAGCTTGCTGAACTTTGGACAGCTGTTCCTTTAGTTTTCGATTAGCGTGTGAAAAATGTCTCTTTCATGCAATGTTCATTAAGATTTTAATTTTGCAGTTTGTTCCTTTTTGAAGCGACGTGCAATTAATTAAGGTTTAATGTGTCATCTATTTTTTGCAATGACACTTTTACTGCCCCCTTTTCATTCTGGTCCGTTTATAAATCGTACTCCAGCTAATGAGTTCCATCCCGATTCCGGCTTCCAAATAATTACCACTCTTCTAATATGGCTATTCTTTAACGTGTCACAGAACTAAGTGTTACTAGGTGAAATCTAGTGACTAGGGGAGCTGGATCTGCCTGGGCCTTGGGGCCTTCGGGGGCTGGTGGGGCTCCCTCGCCTACTCGTCTCAGTTCGGCACCTTGACCGGCCACCACCGGTCAGATACCTGGGCCTGTGCGGGATGTAAAAGCAGAAGCTTCTGCCGGGCCTGGTCCCTGGGGAGCTTGCAGACTAGGTAATTGCCCCACTTCACATTGCTTTGCCAGTGGAAATATGACTGATGAGACTTGAAATCTTGAATGATTTTTAACTGAATATGGGGCTGAGATGAGACCAAGATAAACCGAACAATTCCTTATTAATTCCTACTTCACTACCAAGTTAAAATTTATGAACTATTAGGAGGGGGCAGTGGGTGGTATGGGGGAGATTTCTTAAGGAAGTGACTAGTGTCAGGGAGCCTGTGAGGATGTATGAGTCAGGATTCTCCAGAGAGACAGAACCAATGGGTGGCATATATTAAGAGGTTTATTTTATTAAGAGATTTATTTTAAGGCATTAGCTTACATGGTTTTGGGAGTTGGCAAGCCTGAGATCTGTAGGGCAGGCCAGCAGGCTGGGCACTTGGGTAGGAGCTGAAATTGAATTCCTTTGCCAGAAAATTCAGCTTTGGCTTCGAAGGCCTTCAACTGATTGGACGAGGCCCACCCACACTATTTCAGGTAATCTCCTTGACTTAAAGTCAGCTGATCGTTAACCGCGTTTACAAAATACCTTCACAGCACACCCAGATCGGTGTCTGATTACGTCCCTGAGTACCAGAGCCTGGCCATGTTGACACAGAAGGCTGTCACTGAGGAAGGGTCTGTCCTTCGGGGCGGTGGGAAGTGCGTGGGGCTGAGGGTCAGGAGACTTCTCTTACCAGCTCGGAGGCCACAGGCAGCTCCCCTGGTCCCTGTGACTACCATTAAACTTATATTTAATGCACGCCTCCTACCAGGCGGGACGATACGTATGAAGGGGAAAGAAAGAAGTGGAATGGCAGCCTCGGTCCTGGAGGAGCCCCACCGTCTGGTAACCAGACTGTATGGGAGGACAAAGGCCTGGCATTTCCAAAAGACAAGAACCATAGCCGTTTTCGCAAGAGACCTGAGAGGAAACGTGAGGGAGATGATCGATAAATGGGACGCCGAATGCTTTGCAAGTGACTGTCGCTGTTAGTAGTTTTAGAACATTCTGGTAGCATCAGTCGCCTGTTCCCAAAGAACCTTTGTTGTCAGATCGTCTCTCCATTGCTGGAAAGTCTAGAAATCTTATTTGTTTAAAAATTCCATGATTTAGGTGCTGAGTTGATGCGGTTTTATTTAGGAAAGACAAGCTACTAAATGGAGCACGTAAAGGTGGGTTGTGTCACCTACTTGTAAGTGAATAGGTGACAGTCAGACGCAAGTTCATGCAGCTGGCCAGGGACAGAGTCTGTCATCGGGGTTCGGAGTTAATTAGCTCTTGCTTCATTCCACTGTATTCTGTTTTCTGCTCGTGGAAGGGAAAATCTCTTGTTGCCTCCACTCACTCATTCCCGTTGGCCTTTTGTGTTTTTCAGGGGCGGATGTGCACGCCAGGGACCCCCGCCGCAGGATGTCGCCCCAGGAGTGGGCGGCTTACACCGGGCGGCTGGAGGCCGTGCGCCTAATGCAGAGGCTGCTGGAACGACCCTGCCCGGAGCAGTTTGGGGAAAAGTACAAGCCAGAGCTGCCGCTGAGCCCCGCGGGGGTTCAGAAGTCCACGGACTCCAAAAATTGTTTGCAGAGGCTGGCTGAGTTTGTGCGGTCCGCACTGCCCTCCCGCTCGCGCCCGGGCATGGAGGATGGGGGCGTCCTGGACCACATGGTCAAGATGACCACTAGTCTCTACAGCCCCGCCGTGGCCATCGCCTGCCAGACCGTGTGCCCCGAGAACCTCCCCTGTGTGGGGAAACGGCGGCTGGCGGTGCAAGAAATCCTGGAAGTTTCTAGGGTCCTGGACACAGGTGCCCAGGAGAGGAGCGAGGAGAGGAGCCTCCCGTCTCCCCGGCGGCCAGTTGGCCCACGGAAGGCCAGCCTCTTTGCTCTGCCACTGCCCAAGCGGAGCAGCGTGCGGCCAGGCGTGGTCATCCCCAGGGTGCGCATCAGCAAGGCGCCCGCGCCCACCTTCCAGCCTGAGCGCGTGCCCGCGAAGGGCAGCACCAAGGACAGCACCCACCTGCAGCTCCCCAAGTGGCGGTACAAGGAGGCCAAGGAGGAAAAGAGGAAGGCGGAAGAGGCGGAGAGGCAGCGGGTGGCGGCGGCACAGAAGGAAAGGCGGGTGGTGCCCTGGAGGAAAAGGACGTGAGGGGAACGGCCGGGATGCTGCACCCAGGTTGCTGCGCCCGGAGCCCGGAGCCCGGAGCCCGGAGCCCTGGCGGAGGCCTGGGAGGCTGCGCGGCTCCGCGCGGGAAAGGATGCGCCTCCTTCCCGCGCTGCACGTCTCCCTCGGGGACCAGCATCCTTTGGGGGTCCCAGAAAGCAGTCCATGTTCACTGCACACGAGAGCGACTTGAGCATAGCACAGATCGATTTGTTAGAACCAGTTCCCCTAGCGGTCAATGCACCTAGTGGGCCATTTGCCTAGACGTCTACCTTTAGAACCTCAATTGAGAAATTTTTAAGATCAGTTTATCAAAGGGCAGTTTCCATATAATTTTGTATTTTAATCATGATCAAATGTGCGGTATTTTACAGGTGATGGGGCTCTTTGTATTTAAGACAATTTTAATGCATTTGTCTAAAGACCCTTTGTTTAAAATACTCTTTCTAGCAATAATTATTTGGCAGATCTCTATGATTTCAGACAGAATTTGCGAAATTCTCCCTTTTCGCAGTTTGCTTTGATCTTGACTTCCCTTTTTCCTTAAATGGGTACGCATAGCCCTATAGGCTCTTATTAATTCGATTAAGTGATGCCAAATATTTGTTTCTATTTGATGGATGCATTTTTACAGCAAAATGATCAAATGAGACAGAGGAATCGTATTTCCTTTGTATCTTATTTTTTAAGCTCTCCTATCCATACAATAATAATAATGAAAAAAACCTCATGTCAAAGTATGGAACAGTGCCTAGAGAAGCATGTATTTATTGCTAGAACTAAACTCATTTTAAGCAAGGGATTTTAGATAAGCTGGATACAAAATCTTTAACATATTCAAAAACAGACCTAAGAGGAAACACTATTTTTAATAATAAAATAGGAGCAAATCTAACACATTATTACTAGAAATACAAAGTTAAGTCATACGTGCTCTTCGATAAATTGAGTTCAGACATCCTTCAAATGTAAAAAAATTGCAAAATAAGGGACCCCGAGTGAAAACCACCGAAATGGAGTGGAATAACTTCTAGAGAAATAGGAATTAGAATAACCTATTAGGGAAACTTGTTTCAGGCAAACTCTCTTGGAGTGGGTTTCAGTTCTAAAGATTCACTGGTGTGGAATTACTTTTATTTTTCCTTGGATAACTGCCCTCATACCGACTTTGTAGAATTTCCAAAATGTGGGGACTCTGCCAGAGCACAGATGTGACTTGCCCTGGGCCCCGAGCTCTCCGCGGGCGTTTTCTGTCCGTACCTTTAATTCTGGAAAGCACTGAGAAATTCTAATGAACCTCTGGCCATCTGGGTTGAAGAGTATCTGCCACACATGCACTGCTGAGAGCACTTTATTTAACTAGTATCCTGCTTGGAAGCTACAGATTTGCAGACCGATTTGGAAGCCCCCTACTGTAACCCTGGATTTGCAGGTCAGATTGTGCTAAGCACCCCGTGGTCTCATGGTGCGGGTGTGGGTGGCGCTGGCTGCTCCCTCCCTCCTCCCACCTGTGCCGTCAGGTATTAAGCAATCACCTCTCCAAAACCCCGGATACTGCATGTCACAGCCAGACCGATGGGAGATAGGTGTGATAATCAGCTTTTAACGTCGGCCTGTCGTGAGCTTCTTCCTCATCCCGGAGAGGCGCAAGGGGAATGGCACGGAGGTCTGGACCTACTCTGAGCATCACCTGTAGTAGCTGGCGGCAGGTCCCCCTCGAGCCTGAGAGCTGGGATGTGTCAGATCCCCTTGGTTGAGATGAGGGCTTGTCCTCGAGGTAGAAACACTCCCAGTCTCCCTGACAGCCCAATCCGGCACCGTTTGAGATCATTTTTTATGTTCTGTATTTCATTGCTTTGAATAGCTTAGCTTCATTTTCTCACTCAAGGGTCACTTCCTGTCCCCCGTCCTCCAGTGTCAGTCAGGGGCAGGGGCTCCTGTGGGCCCCTTCTGCTCTGCACATGTCCCCTTGGCTTCGTCACCGCATTCGTCCCTGCCATCACCCCCTACTCTTCTTCCTCATTTGCCTTGTCTTCCTCTGCCCCTTTTCTTCTCTAGGTTTAGCGAAAAGCCGAGCTCGTTCCTGGCCCCACTGCTCTGAGATCTAACAAGGACAGAGCAGCGAGGCCATCGCGAGAGGTGGGGCGGTGTCCCTGTTGAGTGATCACGTCATGACCTCCTAACACCCAAGGGTGAATGAATGTCAGACTTCTCCAGCACCTGTGCAGGGGGTTTAGAATTTTGGTTCAGAACTGCCCCCTCCTTTTTTTAAGGGAGGGAGCCCTAGTTTGATCTCCTGACGGAGGACAGCAGCCCGCCCCCCCCTCCAGTGTACAGAGAGCCCGGTGTCTCCTCACCCCTGATGTTTATTAACTGTAAATAGTGAATTTCAAGTTGACAGGTACCTTCTCAGGGATTTATATATAAACATAGGGAGAAAGTTGAAGTGTATTTTAGTACTTTCTAGGGGTTGTGTGAGTTACACTAAACTAGACAGAAGACGACGTCAGTGCTGCTGCTCCCCGGGGCGATGTGGGGACCCCCGTCCCTCTCTCCCCTGGGCCCCTCACCCCCACCCCGTGAGATTTCCAGGTTATTGGAAACCCGGGACCCTGGCAGCTGAAATGGCCCTGGGGTGGATGTGAAGTCACTTCAGTGCAGCTCATTGCCTCTTGTGGATGTGAACCTTTGTATTAAAAAAACCCCCTTCATCCTGTATGTGAACACGGCGGCAGCGGTAACGCCCGACGGCCGTTCATCGCTTTTACCTCTGGAACCGGTTCCGCCCCGTCGGATATTGGGGTGCGTGGTGTGAAATGACGCAGTCTTCCTGCTTGCTTCTGTGACCCCAGTGTGCCGGCGCTGGGAAGACGGAGGAGGAGCTGGGAGGCCGTGGCACAGACATTGGCGTTTGGGGGCCACACTGGAGGGGCGCAGCGCGTGACACCGGGGACCCGCACTCTGCCGAAGCTCCTCCCACGGGCTCCTGGCCGAGCGAGGTATCTCGGCCCTACGAAGACGGGACACTGGACATTTCACCATCTCGCCCGCGGGCGCTCCCCAGACGCGAGGCGCATTGCGCGGGAAAGGATGGATTCGCGGCGTCGGTGGGAAGATGGTACTGGGGTGCGGAGGGACTCTGCCAGGCTGCCTCCGCCCACTTCCTTCTGCTCAGCGGGTGGCCACGTCTCCGGGGTCCCAGAGACCAGGCTGCTGTCTGTGAAACTGAATCCCACGAGGTGGGGTCAGACCCCTTCGTGCAACGGACGCAGAGCCCGCTGTCCCCGGGGAGGGTTGTGGGCGCCGAGTCAGAGGGAGCAGCACCCGGACTGAGAGCGGGCGTGATCTGTCTCGCAGCCTCCGGCCAGATCGCGGCGTGTCGTCCCCCTCCCGTCCACACTACATTAAGAGAGAAG